TACTATAGGTATATATTCATATGCTGATAATTCACAATCTTAATACCTAGTGAATGATGTGATTATAAGTTAATTTGGGGCAAAGTTAATATTTAACTAATTTTATTTAAAATTAATTTTAGAATACTTTGCGTTAACGAGAAGTTAATGACTCTAATTTTCAATTCCTTAATTGAAATTTTTAATTACATTTCTTAAAATAGATACATACCATAAAAAAACATTATTTAGAAACGATTTGATTCAAATTATTTATTGTATTCATTACTATTGGTATATATTCATATGCTAAATAATTCACAATCCTAATAACCAGTGATCGATGTGATTGTGTGTAATTTTTTGCCCAATTAATATTTAATGATTTTTGTATTAAAGATTATTTCGGAATACTTTGCGTTAATGAGAAGTTTATGACTGAAATTTTTAATTCCTGAATTGAAACTTTAAATTTATTTTCGTAAAATATATGCATATTATATAAATTATTATATTTATTATAGCAAATTATTGCGAATTTATGAACAAATTGGGTTATAGGCACATATTCATATGCTAATAATTCACATTTTCATCATAATAAACAGTGATCGATGTGATTCATAAGTAATTTTTTGCCCAATTAATATTTAAAGAATTTTATATTAAAGATTATTTTGGAATACTTTGCGTTAATGATATGTTTATGACTGAAATTTTCAATTCCTGAATTGAAACTTTTAATTCTATTTTCGTGGCATCACAGATGAAAAATATTATTTTTTTTAACTATTTTATTCAAATTAATATTTGTATTCATTACAGTAAAATTATAAGTGACTCGAAATTTTATTTAAGATCATCTTCTTTTGCAAAGCTGTTTCAGTTTGAAAACTACACAATAATTGAGCATTTTTGATGTTTCTTTGTTATTAAAAATTTAGTGTTTTTGTTAATGATGTTTTTTCGTAAGAAAGTCTAACGATATAAGAATAAGTCGATGCCCGTTAATAATTTATTTTTTCTAAGCAATTATTTATATTATACTATATTTTTTAGCACAAGTTAATGTGTTTCGTACTATCTGAAATATGTTTCAAAACTTGATAAAATTTCGATGCCAGCCCAAAATAGCTGTTCAAATATTATTACCAAATTTAGATACTTTGGAAATTTCTGTCACTAAATTTTAAATTACTAACTAATTAGTTAGTAATTTAAAAATAACAACAATGAAATTTATTAATTTTTTTTAAATTTTATAATTACTCTTTGGATATTAATAAACCTGTAACTGCCATTAATATATGTAGTCATAAGTCAAGTGAAAGTTGCAAATACCAATTATTGTTTGGTACAATAATATACTAAATGCTTATGTTATATAAAATTATTTTGTGACTTGTATTTTCTGATATTATTTCTTACAAAAGAGTTTGATTTATCAAAATTTACATTTATAGAAACGTAAATTCATTTAATTAGAAAATAAAAACTAATTAGTATGAAGAGCAATTAAACTATTTTATAAATTCTGAGGTGAAAAGCATCTTTTGAATGCATTTACTCCACAGATCGCTATACATATTTTTTCAAATTATTAAAAAATTCAAATTCGAATAATAAATTTCAATTATTATTCATAAGAAATTAATGTAAATTGAATAAATCAGCCACATGCATTAAAATGCATGCAAAATTTAAATGCATACATGCCTCAGAATCCATAAAATAATTGTACTGATTTTACAAATAAGTA